GTAGCATATCGTACTTTAATAAATATATTAATAAATATTTTTTAATTAAACTTAAAAAATTTAAGTTTTATATTGAGTCAAAAAGCGTTCAGAGACTTTTGGCAGGGGTCTGTAATAATAAAAAAAATTATTAACCTTGTAGTATATATCAAATAAATATGCCAAGCCCAACAATCTGTACATATTCCTGTAAAACTGTATAATTACAACAGGTAATTGTATATTTATGATAATTTATATATTGGCGTTGAATATATTTATCTCTAAATTTTGAAGTTTCTGGATCACTATTAAGGTTGGTGAGATGATGTTTAAAATTATCTGAATCTAGTTTTCATCTTTTTTTTGTCTGATCAGCAATTGTATTATATGAATAACAATCAAAGATCGATGTTGCTAATTGCTTGTGAAAATTGACGTGTTTCATATTTCTTTTCTGGAACAAATTTACAATATGCAGAGAAGCTATTGCCTCTGCAACTATAAGATAGAAGGTAAAAATACGATCTGCAAAGCATTTTGATCCAAGTTAAGAAAGTGAATTATCATGCAAATTATTAAGTATGTCTATAGCTAATCTAAATTTATTATACTCATCAAATATAACAGGTCAACAGAATATTATACTACTATAACTCTTAATATATCGATTCATTTCTATTCTAAGAATTGTTGTAGAATAACTAGTAAGAAGTATGATATCTTTGCAGTTATGAATTGAACATACAGTTAAGTTAACATTATTCATTTTGCAAACTTGACTAATAGATAATCCATATGTATCTTCAAGTATATCCGTAATATCATTAGAAATATTTTTAGGCCAATAATGATACTTCTTTATCTATAGAATAGAATAAAGACTATGGTTATATAAAGTAATACATACATCTGTGCTATTAAACTATGAATCAGAATAATTATTCTACTACTATGAAATTATAATTCTACTAATCTTAACATAGATGCAATAGTTGCTGGGTATTGATTTGAAAATTTTTTTTTCATAGCATATTCTGAAGGTTCTACTGGATCTAATTTTAAAAACAAATTGATTTGAACATCTGTAAGAGTTTTAAATTCACATCTAATTGGGTGTGACTTTCTGGGTATTTTTCGTTGAAATAGATCTTTATTAACTTTGCTTATCCATTGACACATTGATTTATCTATACAAATTTAAGGATCAGATAGGATAGCTTTGTAAGATTTTTATTAAATTCATCGTAAAACTGCTATGCAAAATGAAAGGGATCATCATTTGCTAATACATCTGTTAATGTCAAATATTTTATAATATTTCAAAATCATTAATATAACATATATTGATTAAATGCCAGCGAAATTTCAGCTATTTCTTGTTTAATAGACTAATAATCGCAAATATCAGCACATTTTACATATGTCATAATCGTTAAAATGCTAATAAATCTTATAAATTCTGTCTATATTAAATCACTCCATTCACATTTACATTTATATGCACATTTATTTGTAGATAGAATTACTATTAACATTATAAATTCAATAGGTATAAACTGCTCAAAAAATTGCCTGGGTGTTACTTTAGAGATATCAGCAATATGTACAACTGGTGCATTAGAATAGGAGCGGAACACTTGGTGAGGATCAATTATAATAATTTTATTGATCTATTGGATATTATTAACATTATAAACATTTATGGCTTCTTTATTTTCACTATTATCAGTATTACTTAAAATATCTGTTTTATTACCACTTGTTTTCTCTTCATCACTTGTATCTTGATTTATATCTAAACTAATTTGAGAAAAGCCACAAACTTCATATAGTCTACTGAGACTTTAATTTCATTTTCTGGTTGTGAATCAGGACAAATTACCTAGCGATTATTACCTTATGCTACTCGTAGAACTGTTGCTAAAAGTCATTTAGTTTTTCATAATTCTTTTAAAAATGGTTAAGTGATGTTTTCACCTATAACAGAGCTCAAAACGGAAACCTTAGCATCTTCTTTAATATTTGAAGAAATCCATCCTATTTTAAAGGTTAGATAAAGGAAGAAAAGTTAAATGAAAAAAGAACTTTTATATTTCTATATATACCTTATACGTATAAGCAATCATATTCATAATATTTCACAAATTTTGCAACCAATTTCGACTTGCATTGAGAAATCAACTTATTTATTAATTGTCTCATATGTGCAAATTATGTATATGATACCCATTTACTTCATATTTTAACCTTTTTTAAAGATAGACTATTATTTGTATTATTAGTTATACCCATTATCAGCTAAAATCTAAAATTATATAGTCACATGATTGATTTTTTGACTAAAGAAGAGTATGAATAATAATTCCCTTTTTTAAATTAGTAGATTTACTTCATACATGATTTACATGATTTTGTTAATTTTGTTCAACATACAACTCTGATGAGCCTATAATATTTATTATAAAAACCCTCTAATATAAATAAGCATTTTATTAATTTTGAACTCCTGTTATCTATTTTAATTGGTAAAAATTTTCAGTTTATTTTCCATCATAATTTAGTATAATATACTTAATTTAGTACAGGTAAATCCAATTCATTAATAAAGAAGTATAATTAACTAAATATAAAACTTATCCTTTATAACTATTTAAAACTGTTTATAATTTATTCATAAATCTTTTGCATTCATTTGTAATCCTTTAATTATTGTTAATAAACTTATTATATAATATTATATTGATTTATTATATTGAGCTAAAGTCTCTGAAACGTAATTTCTAAAATATCTTTGTAGTTATTTTATATGTATTTTACATATTTTTATACTAAAAATAATCTTTGACATTATTATAAATTTTTACTCATAATTTCTTAAGTAATTATTATAGTTTTATTTACCCTTTTGTATTTTTAATTAAAACTATATAACTCATATAATAGTATTAATAAATTACTATAAATATAATCAAAAAAGTAATAGAAAATATATAATAATAGCTATAAAAGCTTATTTAAAAGGATTTTTTAGCAGAAAATATAAATAAGATAGATTAAAAGAAATGGTAATACAATTAAAAATTAATAAAAAAAGATAAAATTTTAATATATAAAATTCTTAAAATCAAAATAATTAAAAGTTAAATTATAAGATATTTAGCAAAGTTATATAAAAAATCAGCAGAACAAAGTATAATAGATAAATCTTATAATCAAATAGTTAGCTCAAAACTAAAAAAGACCTAAAAAAAATATTAGTACTATTAATTTTATACTCAATCTGTTGAACTTAAAGCATTAATAACTTAATAATAGAAAGTAACTTATAAGAAACTACTAAGTTACTATCTCTTCAAGCATTTTGCAAGCAAATTTGCCTGCAATTTTATTTAATAATTAAAATTATTTATAATATTTTAAATATTTTTAAAATAATTTATTTTAAAAATTAATATTTATATAATAAATTTTATAATATTTTCTAAGTAAAATTCAAAAAAAAATGTAATTAATTAGTAATATTTTAAAGATAAATATATAATAAATTATTATGAAAAAAAGTTAAATTTTTAACTCATATATCTTGCTATCTAATGATCTCAAAAATATGAAAATATAATCATTTAATAAATCTTAATGAGATAAATCTAATAAAATAAATTTTATTTTCTTGTATTTTTTTATTTTTAAAAATGTGATAATACTCACATTTATTATGAAAAATTCAAATCCAGTAAATTAATATATGAAAATTCTGAAAACTAAGTACAAAAATAGAAAAAAATAAACTAAACTACTTAAAATATCTTTGCAAGTTAAAAAAACTTACTAGCCTTAGACTAACTGATAAGATAATTACTAGTAAAATACTTCTTAATATATGATAATTAGATTATTACTACGCTTCTCTTTTTTCCCTAACAATAATTCCTATTCTAAATTTAAATTCAATATAAAATAAGTAACTCAAATTATTGTTAAACTAAAAAAGAAGCTAATAAAAAAATTTGACTTCAACAAGTTCTTAGCTAAGTTATCTGATTAATTTCTAATTATAGCAACCTTCTGATATAAGAGCATTCATATTACTAAGTTTTATTGTAAACTCTTCAATACTCTTAAACTTCTATACTAAAATATCTATCAATTTAGATTATAGCTTCTAGCAGGCATTGCATAGAGTTTTAAATTACATAGTTGCTAGAAATCAAAAAATCTCACTAATATCAACAGACTTTATAATGTTAGAGATCTAAAAGTATTTAATCATTTAAAAAGATAAAGGTAAAGTTATTATATATAATTGGTTAATCTAAAGTTATTGTTAATTCTGATCATTATTTAGGATACATCTGATGCTTACTTTTGTAAATAAAAAGAAAAAGAAAAAATAAGAAAAAAACAGCTAAGAGAAATGACAAAAAAATGTTTTAACAAAAATACATCACTGTTTGAACTAATAAAAACTGTTTTTTAGAATAAAAGAATTTGGTAAAAATAAAGAGAGAAAGAAATTTGTAAAGGGAGTATTGTTTTTTGTTTACAGACTAAGCTATGGTTGCCCTTAAATATATACATTTTTTATGTAAAAATTCTTGATTGAGTGATCGCTGAAAAGTATTATATATATTTTTTTATTTTTTTATAATTATTAAATAATAAGTTATTATAAAAATTAAAAAATTAAAAAATTAATATATTTTAATAATTATTAGTATTAAAAATTTAAAAATACTATCATTAGATAAATCTAAATATAAAAAATCTATTAAACTTTATTTTATTTTTTTATAATTACTAAATATTAAAATATTATAATTTTTATATAATATTTTATAACTAATTTATATCTATACTTTAAGGAATAGAATAGGTTCTATAATAATTAACCTTAGGTTTATAATTAAGATAAATAAAATAACTTTAACAATTTATAAAATAATAATTACAATTAACACGTTGAAAGAAGTAGTGTTCTAGGACATATTAATATATTAATATATTAATATGTCCTAGAACACTACTTACTCAAGACTAATATGT